CTAACCAGAAGAACAAAGGATCTATTAAAAAAAAAATTACAAAACATTACTACAAGAAACAAAGACACCTGGAGAAATGGGAGAATATTCCTCGCTCTTGCATAGGAAGACCCTCCAGTGTGCTTTCAGAGGCAGTAAATCACACTGGAGGAGACTGCCCATCCTTCTCCCACGGAGCAGCTGGTGGATTTGAATAGGGTGCCTTAGGGTTTGGCAGTGCAGCATCTTTCCACTAGGCCACCACTTTAGCCCTATTTTTTAAGGTAGTGCAAATTCATCGTAAGTGTTCATGGGCCAAGCAATTGGAACAACGTGAAGGGAGTCCCTGGTGATGTCAGAAAGGACTATTGATCCTTGATAAGGCTTGAAACTGCTTTCAAAGCACCTCAGATTTGCTGACTCAAATCCACCAGCTGCTCTGTGGGAGAAGGATGGGCAGTCTCCTCCAGTGTGATTTACTGCCTCTGAAGTGAGTCAGCTCAAAGTGCACGGTACACAAATATAACAACAAAGCTTCTTCAACTAGCTCGTTTTCTGTGTTCCTTGTTTAGAGTGTTGCTCAGGCCCAACCCAAAATGACTGAGATGAGAAAATGTTCCCAGTGTTAGTGGGCAGATTCTCCCAGCTTCTGAGCTATCCCTGCTGTGGACTCACCCACACCTTGTTGTTAGTAGATGCCATTGAGCAGAGCCAACTTATAGCAACCTAGTGTACAACAGATTAAAACCCTGCCTGGGCCTGCACCATCCTCACCCCCTCTGTTGTGCTTGAACAGACTCAACCCCTGGGCTGCCATCCCGAGTTCTGAGAGCTCAGTCTGTGCTTAGTTTTGTAATTTAGAGTTAGTTTCAGGGGGAGTAAATGAGAGCCTCCACTACTGTGCCATCTTGCTCTGCCTTCTTTTACTATGTATGTTTTTTGGTTGGGGTTTTTTTTTTAGGTCTCCAAGAGGTTTATCTCATTCTCCATGGGCAGTGAAAAAGATTAATTCTAAATGTAATGATCAGTATCAAAGTATGTATCAACAGAGACTAACTGATGAAGCTAAAATTTTGAAAAACCTTAATCATCCAAACATTGTTGGTAAGTTCCATTTTATTGGTAGCTATATCTGGTCTGTTTATTTAGAAATAATATGTATAATCTCTCAACTGGTTTCACTAGTAAAAAAGAAGTAGATAAGAGTGGGAGAGAAGTTGCCAGAATGAGACTAATGGGAAAATTTTAAAAATCGGAATTCATAAAGAGTATTTTTAGATGTATAATTGTATTTAAACTTGAAAGGAATGGACATAGTCAAAATGGTTGGTAGTTGGTACTAATGAAGAACTCAGGAATATCCTTAGTTAGCTAATTTCTGATTTTCATTTTGCATTTTTTCATCTAATAGAGCTATCAAACTTGTTTTGGGGAAGCACAGAATATTAAATATGTTTTAATTTGTGGTGGTGGTGGTGGTTGTTGTTAAGTGCTGTCAAGTTGCAGGTGACTCATAGTGACCATATGAAGGAGAGTCCTCGACGCTTGGGTGCCTTTCATCCTCTCTCCAGGTTCATAGGGTTTTCGGAGGCAAGCTATTATCAAAGTGGATGCTACTTCTCCTTCCAAGCTTGTTTTAATCGGGGAGCTCCACCCCACTCTCTGCCCACATTGGGTAGAACCATTAACGCATTTGACACATCAGTGTCACAGTGTTCAGCCTCACAGCAACCACAAGTGACCGCTGTACGGCACCTTGTACACCAGGGCTATACGACCTAGAGGAATGTCTGAACAAAAACAATGAAAGACAGGCCCGAGGGCCACGGGTTAAAAGTCACCCACCTTTGGCTTGGTAGCATCACTTTCTGTCCACTGGGCCAGCTGATCTCTCTCTGTGTTGATATTATTGTTGTTCAGTGCCATCGAGTTGCAGGTGACTCATAGCGACCCTATGAAGGAGAGTCCTCGACGCTTGGGTGCCTTTCATCCTGAAAGGAAAATGATTAATTTGTGATACTATTTATAAACATTGAAGGCATTTTAAATTTGATCGCATAAATTTGTTCATGACTTTTTCATAGCCAGTGTTCATTTAGATCTGTGTATTCAATCTTTTCGCTGTAAAAACTTAAGTACTCTTGTTTTTCCTATTTTCATAAGAAAGCATCCCATTTTCTTTAAGGTTATCGGGCTTTTACTGTAGCTAGTGATGGCAGCCTGTGTCTTGCTATGGAATATGGAGGTGAGAAGTCTCTAAATGACTTGATAGAAGAAAGGAATAAAGAGAATCCAGGTCCTTTTCCAGCAGCTATAATTTTAAAAGTTGCTCTCAACATGGCCAGAGGATTAAAGGTAACTGTGTCATTGTATTTTAAATTACTATTGTGGAATATGAAGAAACTTAAGTACAGGTGTCCCATGGGTACAAATAAGGTCCATTCTTAACTGAGTCTTTAAGAATATGTAGGTAAGAAAGAGCTGTGGTGGTCTAGTGGCAAGAAGCTGCACTGCAATCCCAGAGGTGCGCAGTTCAAATCCACCAGAAGCTTTCCTGGAGAAGGGGGGGCAACCTCCTCCTGTACCAGTCAGATGCAATTTGACGGTTGTTGTTGTTATGTGCCATCGAGTCACTTGCGGCTCATAGCGACCCTATGTACAAGAGCCCTAAATGCTGTTCTATCCTGTGCCAACCTCACCATCTCAAACAAACTCATTCCCACCACTCCACTCACAGAATCGATCCATCTCATCGAGGGTCTTCCTCTCCTGCGCCGTCCCTCCATTCTCCCAAACATGATGTTCCTCTCCAAGGACCTCCTTGCAATATGCACAAAGTATGTCAGATGAAGCTTCAGAATCTTTGACTCCAAGGAGCATTCTGATTTCACCCTCTCCAGGACAAACCTGTTTGTTCTCCTAGCAGTCCACGGTATATTCAACACTCTTTTCCAGCACCACAGCTCAAAGGCATCAATTCTCTTTCTGTCCTCCCTATTCACACTGTCCAGCTCTCTGATGCATAGCACATAATTGCAAAGACTATAGTCTGGATCAGGTGCACCTTAGTCTCCAGCCTGACATCCTTGGTCTTCAGTATTCTTGAGAGGTCCCTCACCGCTGACTTTCCCAGTGCAACTTGTCTCTTGATTTCCTGGCTGCTACTACCAAGAGTGTTGACTGTGGAACCAAGCAAACGGAAACTGTTAACTTTCTCAATCTCTTCACCATCCATACTGATGCTGCCAGTTAGCCCAGTGGGGAGAATCTTTGTTTTCTTGATGTTGAGCTTCAATCCATATAGGAGGCTGCAGTCCTTGACGTTCTTCAGCAAGCGCTTCAGGTCTTCCTCAGTTTCAGCAAGCAGGGTGTGTCATCTGCATAACACAGGTTGTTGATGACTCTTCACCAATCATGATGCCACATTCCTCCTTGTACAGCCCAGCATCTCAGATGATCTATTCTGCATACAGATTGAAAAAGTATGGAGACAAAATACATCCCTGGCAGACCCCCTTCTTGATTTTGAACCATGTAGTGTCTCCCTGCTCTGTTCTGACGACTGCCTCTTGTTCCACGTATAGGTTTTGCATTAGCACAATCAAATGTTCTGGGATTCCCGTTCTCAGAGTCAGCCACAGTTTGTTGTGATCCACACAGTCAAAAGCCTTTGCATAGTCAAT